TACATGCTCTCTGGCTGTTGTGCCTTGATTACTCAACAAAGCAGTTCAAAACTTTCTCTGTTATACCTTTTCCTATGTATTTCTAGATTAACTTATTTCAGTTCATTATTTCTTTTATCTTCTAATATCTTTGATTTACTTGCTATACTATAATTTCATAGTATTATATTATTTTTATTTGCAATTCAAGTCCTTTGTAATGTTTTCCTATGTAATATTTATAAATAAAGTGCAAAACCTATTATTTAAGCCATTTTATGTACTTAGATATTTAATCGTCTTGTAATTAATTAAATTGTGATTTTTTTGTTTCGATTCTACTGTCGTAAAGACTATGAGAAAAAACTTTATTGTTGTACAACAATACAGTGAATGAGATATGGACAACAAGTGAATAAAAGAAAGATGAAATGTACATCCAACCAACAGATAACACACTAAGCCAGTCAAGTTTAGAAATAAGTAAAACGTGAATTAGCCTTTACAAAATTCGAATAATTGATTCTCGACGAGTGTATAATATACCAAAACTACTTTTCTAACAAGAAGACCAAGGAGCGAATCCCAGTTCCTGCCATCACATAAAGTCTCTCTCAAAATTTCCCTAAATACCAAATCAAATTAGCAACTGAAAAATAGTTAATATGGATTAAAGAGAAAACAGTAACTAATTACGGTAATTGGACTTTGGTGGCCGTATGGGTTACTAATCAGGACAACGAATGATATCAAATCGTTACTACCTAACTGTAAGTTCTTAAGACAGTGTATAATGTTGAGAGAGCTTAGAGTCATGGAATAACCCCCCCCCCCTCCAGTAGCACAGCGGTATGTCTGCGGACTTACAACGCTAGAATCCGGATTTCGATACCCGTGGTGGGCAGAGCACAGATAGCCCATTGTGTAGCTTTGTGCTTAGTTACAAACAAACAAACATGGAATAAATTGTAATTTCCCTTGAAAAAAAAAAGAGAAGTTTACAGTAATGAAAATGTGAGTTTTAAGAATAAAGGTTACTGTTTTCCTTATTTGGAAGGATCTTTTTGTTCTTGCTGTCTGTCTCCACATACACAAATTAACAGAACGTAGATTTGTTCTGATTCACAATAAAATTTGGCTTTTAACTCTTTTTGTATGAATTAAATAAATGATTTGTTTACATACATGTATTTTTCTAATACGAAAAATACTTGATGCAATAACGTTCTCTAACACGATCTACAACTAGGGTTTCTTTCACTTTGAAGTATTGTAAACTGTAATATTAAAAATTGTGTTAGTGTAAATCTTTCATAAAACTCATGGTTAGTTTGGAAATTCAGTTTTCATTAATATTGGCTCACATTACTTGAGCTAGTTCGATGTATTTATGTCGTAATTTTATTAAGATGTGGGTAAAAATATGTGGAACAGAAAAAACAACAACAACAATTCTTCTTAAAAAAAGAATGAAAGAGAGAATAAATAAACATTCCAATGCTTATGCAGTTGTTGTTGTTGCAGATGTGAACGTTGGAACCAGAACCGATGTCTTGCACCTATATATTTGGTCAGGAAGAATTCCTGTTCATTCAATAGTGCAATGCTGTCAGGTCAACCGTATGGCAGGAATAATATGTCAGGCCTTTTCCACGAAGGAAATTCAAAAGGTGATATTGTTAAAAGATTTAAAATCGAAAAACACAACATTTCGAAGAAAGAAGCTGTCAATACTCTTCAAGAAAGCTGATAAATTCCAGTAGCAAAGTGTTTAGGAAATGAACTGACTCCAAAATCACATCCCAAACCAGTTCCAAGCAAAGTCATCATCCGTAAAGTGAAGGTTATTTTGCAAAAATCCATTACAGTGAACGTCTGATACCACTAACATGTAATAAACAAAGATGCGAATGTAAAGAATGGTCACAAACCAAACAATCACAAGTTTCTAGCTGGATCTCAAAATGGGCAGTCTCTGACAAATATGGCCGATGGAGATGAAATCACAAGAATCCTCTGCGTCATACGTGTTTACATCACTAATTACAAATAGATTATTTTACTATAAAAAAATTAATGAGTTTTCTTTTTGAGGGTCACGGATCTTGCTACGTATCTAGTTATGAGAGTGTCGCCGTTCTGTTTGTTTATTTTATAGCAAATCTACTCTGTCCACTGCATGGAATCGAACCCAGGATTTTATGCCAATTAAAACTACAAATTTCTTCTATTTACGTTTTTTGATAATAAAGATTAGAATACATAGTTTCATTAGTTGGATACCTCGCTGTTAGCATTTGTTAGTTTGGAAATGACTTTAGTATAATATTTTTGAAATACTATTATTACATCTAGTAGTAAGATTAAAGGAAATAAGCAGTTTTGTTTTTGAAAGTGGCGGTGATTTTTGTATGAGATCACTATAATTTGTGTTAACTAGTGATGATTTCTGTATGAAATTATGCTTAAATACTAGTGATGCTGGCGAAAAGTATTACACGAAGGGTTAATCAGTTTTGAAGATAATGTTCCAAATCCCGTAACGTCCTTGGGACTATTTTCTCCATGTTAATTTTACTCAGTTTGATGGCCATGATTACGCATTATTATCTAACATTGTAGTTTTTATTGTAGCAAGCTTGTGACAAAAACCGAGGAGGCGTGTCTTAGACCACATATCTTGAAAAACTATACATAAACATTGTCTACTGTACGTAAACGTCAGTTTCCAAGACCACGTTTAACTTTTTTTTTGCCATGAGCACATATACGCCCATTTTGAGATCACTGCATGTGAGTTTATGCCACCACGAAAAACTAGTATTCATCTACAAACTTCCCGGTATTCCCAATTTTCGAAATACCGACCAGCCTTCACGTAAACGTCAGCTTCCAAGACCACGTTTAACTTTTTTTTTTTGCCATGAGCACATATACGCCCATTTTGAGATCACTGCATGTGAGTTTATGCCACCACGAAAAACTAGTATTCATCTACAAACTTCCCGGTATTCCCAATTTTCGAAATACCGACCAGCCTTCAACAAAGGCCAGAAGTAGCTATTATATGGCAATTAGGACAGGATTCAGCTTGTTCGACTAGCTGAGTTAAAAGTATTGTTTTACAAATATACCAGAAGAACATTCATATTTTTTCCAGAAATTTGAATCAATAATTTCGGTAGAAGGCTGTGGGGGAGGGGTGAATAGGTTTAAGTAAGTATTGTATCGTGCCTTATGAAAACTTAATCCTACTCTGACTAGACCATAAAGTCTAACGAAAATCATCCTTTTAATTCTCTGTTCCATGTTGGAAAATTTTATGACCTCAGAAGAGCTCCATTTCTTGTCGCAGTTGTTCAAGTACATCAAACTTGCTTATATATTATCACAAACTTCAAACTGGATCGTTCAAGGCATTTGTCTTACGGTTTTCTGCCGTTTTTTTTTCTCTCACCAACGTATCTGGAGAGCTAATTGTGCAGTCGAGCTTTCCTTAGTTCTGTAGTATAATGTTTTATTTCTCTCACCAACGTATCTGGGAAGCTAATTGTGCAGTCGAGCTTTCCTTAGTTCTGTAGTATAATGAGTTAAATTGTTGATGAATTTTAAATTAGGTTCCAAATTCGTTTTGGTTGAACTAGTAATGATTTTCCTCGAGTATACATTTTATGGGCCTCACAGTATCAGAAAGTTGTCATATATATTCAACTTATTTTTTATAGAAGAAAAACTTTATCAAAAATATAATTAGTAGGAGTTTACTTAATAACAATATATAACTATAGGATTCCAAGCAGAAACAGGTATATATATATATATCAAACGGTATATCAAATTTACTAAGTTTACTGAGTTGCCACGAGTGGAGCCACTAGCGACGCTGGTCGATAAAACTGGTTATGATTTCTATTTGACATTCCTGTTATATGTAAGCGAAACTTGTGAAGGTTAGGAAATTATTGTTATTTGTTAGTAAATTCGGTGCTGATGCATTACAGTATTTCTTAGTATAACTGGCAATAACATTTTAATGATGTTACATGGGTATTATTAATTGTGAGATTAATAGTTTACGTATGATATTGTTCTTCTATGTTTACTAGCACTGGCGACGATTCGTGAATGATATTAATGTTGTTTAGTCAGTAAAAATTCTGATTATTGTTTTATAAGATTTATGATTATTTATTAATAAAACTACTGATAATTTCTATTACTTCGTACCTTGTGATGATTAATTATGTATGAGGTTTCTGTAGTACGAATAATAAAACTGGTGGTATTTTCTATGACATTACTTTTGTTTGTTATCAAAACTGGTGATTATTTCTGTATGAGGTTACTATTATTCATTAGTACAATTGGCGATGGTTTTTGTATGATATGGTCAAGAGGACGATTAGTATTAATACAGACGAGACTAGCGAACCCCGGTCTGAGAGGCTAATACAACACAATGCGTAAGAAAACTAATGACTGTTTTTCTAGTGATAAATACAATAATTTGTCTCTTCAAGTTTCACCGAAGAATCAACATATCCTCTTTTAAATCAACATATCCTCGAAACAAGTAAAAATATAATCAATGTTTACATACAAGGCGATTATAAACGTACATTTCAGAAAATGTTTAATGTATTTTACTTTTTCTTCTAGGTTTAGAGCAACGAACAGGCCACGCCATATCAATTGACGGTAGATTAACTACTTTTTTTCCTCGTTTAGGAGTAATGTTTTCCTTGTACATTGTAAAATCATCGTACAGATAATAATAAAGTATCAGGCCTCACAGTATCAGAAAGTTGTCACATATATATGTATTCAACTTATTGTTTTATAGAAGAAAAAACTTTATCAAACATATAATTAGTAGGAGTTTACTTATTAGCAATATATAACTATAGGATTCCAAGCAGCAACAGGTATATATATCAAACGGTATATTAAATTTACTAAGTTGCCATGAGTGGAGCCACTAGCGCCAACCGTTGATTTAAAACACGGAGAGCTGCTCGTAAGGAAATACAAACCGTTCCAGAGTTACTGAGACGCAACACAGTTACCTTAGACTCCAGGGGAACGAACGACAAGGTTTTTCGTAAACATAGAAAAAGCTTATATTGCAAACTTGTTGTTAACAGCGACACTGTAGAGCAAAGTCCAGAGGTTCTGGAATATAAGCAAGGTAAGTTTTTAACTAATGACTGGTAATACTCCCTAAAAATAATGCTGATTTTAATTTGAGAAAGCTGGTAGTCATGTTGACACTTTCTCAGCTCTACTTTCCAGGACAGTGGAACGGTTTTGTTGTTATTAGATATTTACCTATGAAAGAATCACAAATACACCCCATTACTGAAGTAATGTTTTCTAAGGAAAAAAAATGTTAGATAATTTTTTTATGGACAAATTTTAAATATGTTTCAATTGAGTTTTATTTTCATGTTTGTGTTGCAACATTTCTTTTGTGATATTAAGTAGTAATGTCGACGTCATATACCGTCTTTCTTTCTATTGGTGGTTTGATTTTCTTTGCGAGGTTTGAAAAAAAAAGTAATTGTGGGTTATTTTTTTAAACCCGACAAACAGGCCCTAGTTATTATAAGCGTGCATTGATTACGAAGCAATATGTATGTTTAATGATGTTGCCTGACCGTATGTTTACATATGTTTCTCATGGTTTCTCGCGTGCATAAACTAGAGTGTTGTATGGATAGTAGATCAGTTTTCCCAGAAACATTGGCTAGCTAGCAAGTGTCGAGGTTGCTAGCGGTTGCACGAACCTCAGAGTGGCATCGCGAGTTGCTTTGTGTATCTTTTCCTAAAGCAGAGTAAAAAAGTTCGTCGTGGAGACGACAAATTCGTGATTTGTCAGCCACTTTTTCACTGCTATTATAGGGGATTATATTTTTTAAAAAAACTTTCTAAGTAGATACGATAATGTTGTGTTTAAGCATATCAAATTGCGTGATAACCCATATATATATATATGTATATGTGTGTCCTTTTACTCTTAAAACGCTCATCTTCAACATCTTCATGATCGAAACTCCGAACAAGTGATTGAAGCAAATAAGCTTTTCATATGGTTGCACACAATTATTAAAATATCAAAATTCCTTTTAAATGGAAACAAACGGTGACGAAATTGGAAAAAAAACAATTACAATGAGGTTTTGTAATACTCTATAACTTTATCTCAGTACATTTCGTTCATTGGTTTGTTGAATTTGGCGCAAAACTACTCGAGGACTATCTTCGCTAGCCATCCCTAATATTGAGGTAATAGACTGGATGGTTGGCAGCTAGTCAATAACAGCCACCCCAACTCTTGGGCTACTTTTGTCAGACTGAATAGTGGGATTCGAACGTCACTTTTAATAACTTCATTAAGTATTAAACCATTAATTAATATCATAATATTAAAATACAGTAAAAAAATACTGTATTTTAGTGTGTGGTTTTTTGCAGTTTTCGAAAAATTTAAAATCTAGTTAAATTATTTTTGCTAAAACTGATTTTTTTTTTCGCAGATAAAAACTGCTAATCACAAAACATTCAGAAATGTTAAATTTCCTTCAAATCGCTCAATAAACGCTACGTGCCTCCTAGATAACCCTATCTGCTTAGTAACAAATTGTGGATGTTTTACACTTGGAAAGCTTCTCTCGGAAATAGGTTATATTTGTTTGTTTGTTTATAGTTAAGCTCAAAGCTACACAATGGGCTATGCGTGCTCTGCTCACAACGAGTATAAAAACCCGGTTACTAGCGCTGTAAGTCCGCAGACATGCAGCTGTGCCACTGGGGGCAATAGGTTATGGTAACAGTAAAAAGTTATTTGTTAAAAATCCGAGCGCCTATTTTTACATGAATATTTTTACTTCTAAATCGTATATAATCTAGGGTGTAATGCATTTATTGAGCATAGTGATCAAATCTGTTAAATCTAAAAAGACTACTTTACTACAGAAATGATCTGAACTTATTCTTCAAAGTTTTGTCTTCCGACTTTATCAAGACGTTAGCCTAATAATTTGTCCTAAATGTGGTATTAAGCCCTTGTTTTCTTTATTTTCTAAAGGGAATAAATGGCTTTCCTATGAAGTTTAAATACCCTTAGTCTACTAACCAAGTTTACCATCAGGTGCAATTTATATAATTTTGTCATCAAGTTGACTTAACTAAAAACAACGTGCTGTAATCATTTGCTAGCTAAATTATAATTCACTCTTGGTTTTTAAAAATATGTTAATTTCTAAAGTGATTTAATCATTCACTCTTTGGTTAATTACAATGAAAGCATAGCTGATGATGGTCACCACGTATTTTATCCAACCAATGAAAATCTCTATGATGCAAAATATTTGGGGTTTCCTTCTTTATTACTTAATGGCTACATAAAAGTATTTATATTTGTTTGCTTTTTTTTTAATCTGTGATACTATTTTATTTTGAAAGTATATAATAATAATTATATATATTTACCAAAGATAGCGCTTTGACAATGGTAGTAAAACATTTCTTGAGCAAATAAAACACAGATAGATTGAATTATCTTTTAGAATCGGAAAACTTCAGTTTAACTTGAGAACAAATGTATGTTGGATTTCTAATTGAAATAGGCCTGGTGGTTATGGTGTTAGTTTTGCATTCTGCGGATTCCGAAATCTATTACGGTCGCTGAACATTCTCGCTATTTCAGCTATGAGGGCGTTATAATGTGACTTTGATTCCCACTTTTCATTGGTATAGATTTGGCGGTGGGTGTTATTGACTAACTACCTTCCCTTTGGTCTATTACTTCAAAATTAGGGATGATTATCGCAGATAGCCCTTGAATAGTTTTGCGCAGAATTCAACAAATAAGCTAAAATATACTTTACTTTATTTTTTGGATTTGTGGCAAAACCACTGAGGCTGTCAGCCGCCATCCTTAGTTTTGAACTATTGACTCGAGGGGAGGCAGTCAGTCAACAGCACCTTACCATTCACGCTATGGAATTGACTTATAAATAACTTACAGCTTTATTAAATGTGGGGAATGTTTTTTGGTATCGAACAGATTCGAAATCCAGATCTCTCCCACAAGGCCTCGCACCCCTTTATAATTTACACAGAAATGTGTATAAACTAATTATAACGTTTACTAACGTTTCCTAATTAGTTTGCATTCTCTCTCTTATATTCAGTGAGTTTCCTGATGTATGAAAATAAACAATGATATTTTGTTCGAAGATTTAGTACTGTATTCAAATAATGTCAGAACAGAGTAACGAACACTAATGTTTGGACTGTATAGTTAACTTATTTATATTAAAGAATTGTACCGAAATCATGTGAAGTTTAAAGGCAGAAGTGTGTTTATTTTTTCTTGCAACACAGCACTAAAAGTACAAAGATTCTGGTTTATTTAGTTGTGCAATAATAACGATCCTAACAGATTTATATTCTTAACCAAGAAACAAGTTCTGCAGAACAAAACGGATTTAAGGAAACATGGCGGTACAAAAGAAAGGAGGATGCTATGATTTTCACATATATGTAGAAGTTGTAATCATAATATCCCATATATATGTAGCAGTGGGGATCATAATATCCCACATATATGTAGAAGTTGAGATCATAATATCCCATATATATGTAGCAGTGGAGATCATAATATCCCACATATATGTAGAAGTTGAGATCATAATATCCCATATATATGTAGCAGTGGAGATCATAATATCCCACATATATGTAGAAGTTGAGATCATAATATCCCATATATATGTAGCAGTGGAGATCATAATATCCCACATATATGTAGAGGTTGAGATCATAATATCCCACATATATGTAGCAGTGGAGATCATAATAGCCCACATATATGGCCCCCCAGTGGCACAGCGGTATGTCTGCGGACGTACAACGCTAGAATCCGGGTTTCGATACCCGTGGTTGACAGAGCACAGATAGCCCATTGTGTAGTTTTGTGCTTAATTACAAACAAACAAACCCACGTATATGTAGCAGTTGAGATCATAATATCCCACGTATATGTAGCAGTTGAGATCATAATATCCCACATATATGTAACATTTGAGATCATAATATCTCGCATATATGTAGCGGTTGAGATCATATAATATCCCACATATATGTAGCGGTTGAGATCATAATATCTCGCATATATGTAGCGGTTGAGATCATATAATATCCCACATATATGTAGCGGTTGAGATCGTAATATATATGCGCTAACATAATTACTGACTACTAAAATGTTATTATTTTATTAACTACATTTAGATAAATAAGTATTAGGATGGGAAGCACCAACCACTGAAGAGAAGCTATATCGATATTTTATTTTGTCCTATTCATACTATTATATTTATTATAGTATACTAGGAAAAGTATTCAGTGATATCATGCTTAAAAAAGTGGATAGGGGCGTTGGCCGCCCGCTTCCACCATTTTGAGTCGTCGCATACGAAGCGTTCGTCCGATACGAAGGTTCCTTTGCTACAAACGGTATTGAACATCACTTTCTTTTGGCGTCAGCTTCACACATTTTACTACTAACTTTCAACCTCAGTTGAATCTCCAATCGCGCCATTAACGCGGCTAGGTTGGAATGGCTATCAAAATCGAACAGCTAAATCGAGTGTTTATCCATTTAAATTTGATATTTGAGGAGCCCACATGAGTTTGTATACCAAGTTTCATTGAAATTGTTCCAACCAGTTCTAACAAAAACATGTTGCATCGAACAGACAGACGACAGTTTGGCTTTATATAGAGAGATTTAAGGATTTTTGTGACAAAAATTTAATTAACGTAACACTTGAAAATTAAAACCACTTTTAACAAATTCTTTAAAACTTGTAAATCTTTATTTCTGATTTCTCTGTACCATAAAGTGATTCATCGTGTTGAGTGTCTACAATGTTGTCCTTAGTGCGTATGGATATCCTTAAGGGTAGTACTGATGGTATAGATGTATTTCTGTAGTATAACAAGAAATAAAAAAATTGTAGAAATTAAGTTTGATGTAGGGATGTCAATGCCAAAAAGTACAGAAACGAGGTAGGGATGAATGCACAAAGCCATACAAAAATCTCTACATCACTTGACTTCTTGGGACTTAATGTTGAGGAATCTACAGTAAGTAAGAACATATGAACAATGTATAGCTGT